TCTCTTGGTGATTGGCCCAAAGTCACTCAGCTGGCTTTCATGTCTAGGAGAGGACTAGAACTTCTGATTTCTCTAGTTCAGCACCTTCACCATTATATCAAACGGGGTCTATAGGTGGTAGCTGGAAGGGTCATTCATCCAGATATGCGTGAACCTCAGCTGCTATCAGTTGAATACACTTTGGCCTCTTGTTGCCCTTGAGACAACATAATTGTGCCCATGGAAAGTCTCAAGAGGTGCATCAAACTTCCATTTATTTGACATTTTGCTGTCCCACTAAGTGTCTCCGAGAAACCCCCCAAAGAGGAGAGGAGGGAAAGAGTTATCCACCGTACTGTTCCCAAATCCTTGGCATTTAGACTTATATTGCCTCTGGATTCTCTGGGCTGAAAAGCCATGAATTTCTCTGCTGAAATTTGCTCCTCTTGTTTTACTGCCATTAAGCTAATGGCCATTGTTATGCTTTTTTGGCAGCACAGTTTGGAAATTAATGACAAAAGGAACATCTTGGCTTTGTCTTGCATTCCAGGCCACCAGTTACCTTAGATGGCCTCTACGACTTCGTATTAGAAGGGAAAGGAAAGTTTCTCTGAACTTTTTCCTCATCTTTTAGGAAGGATGCAAACTGCTGAAAAACAACCTTTAGGATATCCTTACTATAGTGAGTAAGGCCTTTCCCCTCCTGTGGCCGCTGTTTTTAATAAGGCTTAGGTGAAAGTTAATTAATTCAGCTCTCTATCTCAAATTCCAGCGGCAAATATTTTGTTCCCGCTAATGGTAATAGCACTGACTTATATACCGCTTCACAGTGCTTTACAGCCCTTTTTAAGCGGGTTACAGAGTCAGCCTATCACCCCCAACCATCTGGGTCATCATTTCATGAACCTCAGAAGGATGGAAGGCTGAGTCAACCTTGAGCCAGTCAGGATTGAACTTCTGGCAGCGGGCAGAGTCAGCCTGAAATCCTGCATTCTAACCACTGTGTCAGTACAGAAGAAAGGGAAGCCAAGAAGGAAGGAAGGAAGGAAGGAAGGAAGGAAGGAAGGAAGGAAGGAAGGAAGGAAGGAAGGAAGATAGTAATAGCACTCAGACTTATAGATCGCTTCACAGTGCTTTTACATCCCTCTCTAAGCGGTTTACAGAGTCAGCCTATTGTCCCCAACAATCTGGGGTCCTCATTTTACCCACCTTGGAAGGACGGTAGGCTGAGTCAACTTTAAGTCTGAGATTCAGACTGCCAAATTGCAGGCAACCGGCAGGCAGCAGAAATAGCCTGCAGTACTGCCTTCTAACCACTTAGCCACCACGGCACAAAAAAGAATGAAGCCAAGAGTGTTTCTGCAGCTGCCTAAAAAGCCAATGCAGTCCTCGACTTCCTCAACATAGGGATAGCTTCAAGATCACGAGGAAGTGTTAGTCCCGCTTTATAATGCCTTCGTACGACCACATTTGGAATATTGCAGGCAGTTTTGGTCACCGCACTATAAAAAAGATATTGAGACTCTAGAACAGGGGTCTTCAAACTCGACAGCTTTAAGACTGGTGGACTTCAACTCCATGAAGTCCTCCTCCAGTCATGTTAGCTCAGGAATTCTGGGAGTTGAAGTCCGCAAGTCTTAAACTTGCCAAGTTGGAAGACCCTTGATCTATTCATTCTACCTACCTACCTACCTACCTACCTACCTACCTACCTACCTATTCTATCTTTCTCTCTTTCTCCCTCTATCTCTCTTTCTATATTCTACCTCTCTTTATCTACCCCAGGGGTCTTCAAACTCGACAGCTTTAAGACTTGTGGACATCAACTCCCAGAAGTCCTCCTCCAGTCATGTTAGCTCAAGAATTCTGGGAGTTGAAGTCCACAAGTTTTAAACTTGCCAAGTTGGAAGACCCTTGCTCTAGAAAGAGTGCAGAGAAGAGCAACCAAGATGATTAGGGGACTGGAAGCTAAAACATGCGATGAACGGTTGCAGGAACTGGGCATGGCTAGTCTAGGGAAGAGAAGGCGGGGTGTGATAGCTGTTTTCCAATATTTGAAGGTCTGTCACAGAGAAAAGGGTGTTGGCGTATTTTCCAAAGCACCCGAAGGCGGGATAAAAAATAATGGGTGGAAGATCATTAAGGAGAGTTCCAACGTAGAATTATGGAGAGATTTCCTGACTAATCAGTGGAACGGCTTCCTTCCAGAAGCTGTGAGTGCTCCATCACTGGAGTTTTTTTGTCTGAACTGGTATGGGGGTTGAGAGGGGGTTGAACTAGAAGACCTCCAAGATCCCTTCCAACCCTATTGTTTTATGTTCTCTGTTGTGGTTCACCGGCAGCAGATACAGACGGCTGAGGTCTCAGAGAGCGAGGACTCAGATGAGGGGCCTGTGTGCGATGCAGGGATGGGGCCAGGACCATCAGGGAGTGGAATGTGGCCTTCGGAGATTGTGGAGGCTGGCAGCAGTGAGGAAGAGGCCCCTGAGGAGCCTGTGCCCAGTGAGCGTGCACACAGGGCTGCTCGAAGGAAAGAGCAGCTGCAGCAGCACAGGCGACTCGGGAGTAAGGCTGCAAGGTAATGGCCCCTCCCTTAAGAGATAAAAGCCAGCTGAGAAACTGGAGTTCTTTGCAGGAAGCAAATAAGTTTTTGCACTCAAGCCTTGTGGATGTTCGGAATATCTTGGTTGGTGTTTGGAGACTCTTCGTGTTTGAACTATTTCTTGGCAACTTTATCAAGTGTTCTTGGCAGCCTTGCACCACCTTGGCAAGGGTCGTTCTTATCAAAGACAATTAGTTTGAAACAGCCTTTTAACTGTGAAGGAACGGAATTCGTAAAGAATCATTAAAAGGTTTTGCTGATACCTCTGTTTCATGTTTGTTTCCTTGGAACAAGGTTTGGGTCAGAACATTCTCAGAATCTTTTAACTTGAATAAGTTCTCAAACTTAAAAAACTGAAAAAGTATTAAGCGAATAATACTCACGTTAAGTACTAATACTGATCATCCTTACTTAGCAAGCACAGTTGGTACTGGCAATTTAGTCATTAAGAGAAGTGGTCACTAAATGAAGCCACAACTGCATAGTAAAGGTTGTAAATACAAAAATTAGTTGTAAAGTGATCTTTTCATCGCCGTCAGAACTTGGAATGGTCCTTAAATGAGGCAGTTGCTGAATAAGGACTAGTGCATGATGAGCAATAGTAATGGCCAATTCTGAGAATCCACTGCAATGACAAGAGGCAGAATTATATCTATTTGGGTTGTCAGGATACTTTTACATATGTGATATGGCAGATGGTTGCAATCCTGTCTTGTCTTTCCCTCGCTGTCTGCAGGAGATATTCAGATATTTGAAGACCTCCTTAATATTTCCCTGGCTAAATTCTCCGAGCCTTTTCAACAGTAGTAAGGGAGCCAAAACACTTTTCTGTGCTCTTGAGTCAAAGTACTGGGCACCTCTTTCTTGTCAGCAAAAGATTGGCAAGATGTTAGCCAGCCTTCCTGTCGGTTCCTACCCTGCCCTCTGTTGCAAAGACTTCCCCGGTTGCTACTCAACGGTATTGATTTACGAGCGTGCCAGTTGTTCTGGGCAACCTGATGACTTCCCTTCCCTGGCTTTGCTGTTTGAGCTCGCCAGTCATCCGCCAGGTAGAATCCTGCAGTGGAGGGAGCCAGCCTGGCTCCAGGGTTTTACTCATAATCTGCTCCCACCCTAACCCCCTGTTTGGGCATTCTTCCAAGTTGAAATAACGGGGAACCAGAAAAAACACATCAACAGCAGGAGGTAAATCATTTTTCCGGGAGGAGAGAGGCAGGATAAACGAAACCTGACTGGCTCAGGGCTGGGTATCAATGTATGCCCCCGTTCTGAGCTGTGGACTTCAGTCCCCAGAATTCCTGAGTCAGCATGGTCCCAAAGGGCCCATAGTTGCCCAACCCCTGGATTAGCTGAATAAACACGGGGAGGGGGCGAAATGAAATGATTTAAATGGACAAGGATTGGGAAATGGACAACATTCTATTCAACATCCCGTATTATCTGCAGCAGTTAGGGAGGGAGGGAGGAAAGAAAGAAGGAAGGAAGGAAGGAAGGAAGCAAGAGAGGAAGAAAGGAAAGAATAGAGGAAGGAAGGAAGGAAAGAATAGGGAAGGAAGGAAGGAAAGAATAGGGAAGGAAGGAAAGAATAAGGGAGGGAGGGAGGGAGGAAGGAAGGAAATTGAGAAATGTTTGAGAGGGAGAGAGGAAGGAAGGAAGGAAAGAATAGGGAAGGAAGGAAGGAAGGATGGAAGAAGGAAGGAAGGAAGGAAGGAAGGAAGGAAGGAAGGAAGGAAGGAAGGAAGGAAGGAAGGAAGGAAGGAAGGAAATTGATGCTCACTTTTTTGGAATGGGTGGGAGATATAAAGAACCTGGTGGGATCAACTGATCAGGGGCTGTGATCAAACAACCAACTACCTGGCTATCACAATGGAAGAAAAGATTGAAATCTGCAAAGAGATTTGAAATCTGCAAATCTCTAAAGAGTCACTTCCAGGTAACCTATGCACAAGTGTTAAGCAATTGAAAGCTTTAGTGTGGAAAGGCCCCCTCGCTGCAAACTAAGAATTGATAAAAGCTGGGCTTTTGGTCACATATCTACAGGTGTCCTCGATTTACAATCTTACGTTTAGTGACGAAGTTACAAGGGCAACGAAACAAGTGGCTTTTTCACACACTTACGATTGGTGCCGCTTCCCCATGGTGGTGTGGTCAATTCATGACAGTTGAGATCCCTTTTTGCGACCTTCTGCTATGCAAAGTCAATGGGGAATCCAGGTTCACTTAACAACCATGTGACCAACTTAACAACTGTAGTCATTCACTTAAACAAACTGTGGCAAGAAAGGTTGCAAAACGGGGAAAAGCTTGTCTTAACAACTGTCTTGCTTAGTATCAGGAAATTTTGGGTTCCGTTGTGGTTGCAAGTTGAGGACGACCTGTACCACCCAACACTCATGATTATTTCTGTGTTTTGGTCCAGATGATAATTGAAGCTCTTCAAGAAGAGAAGAACTACTTAACCATGGCCATTGCAGGGTACCTGAAGGATTACCATGAACTCCTGCAAGTGAAAGCCAGCCTTAGCCTTGAAATTGAAACTTACAGGTAAGAATATTTTCACCCTGCAGGAAGACACAAGGGAAACCTTAGTGTGATGACCCAAAGGGGCGTGGCACAAAGGCAACACAGTCAAGTAAGCAAGAAGAGTCCCTTGATTATCTCCAACTTTGTCCCCAGTGTCCAGGTTACCTTCAGCTGGAGAAAAACTCTCCCAGGATCAGCCTTTAACTGTAGAAAATTCAGTCCGAAAACAAAGTACATACAAACTGTAACTTAAAAATCCACACAAACCACACTGCAGTAATTAACTTGACAGGGCACGAGAAGGAATTGCAGACTTGAAAGCAGAGCAAAACACACGCCAGGAACACAGATAAGCCTCAAAGATACCAGATAAATTCACGATTTGCTCCCAACCGCTTGCTGCACGCAGTTTCCCTTTTTAAACTCTGTGTTCTCAGCTGCAGCTAATGAAGGGAATCAGGGCCCTTTCCTTCCCCGTAAGCCACGCAACTCACATTGCTCCCTTCTCCATTCCACCCTGCATGCCCTTCCTCTGAACTCCCTCTCCCTTGCTCTACCTCTCCTCTGCTCTACCCAGCAGAGTTTCCTCCACAGCCAACGGAGCCACACTCCCACTCCCTGTCAGTTGTTCGGCCTCCCTCTCCAAATCAGATTCCGACAGGGGCATGAACACTTAACCTCATTTTACACTTGGTCAAATTCCAGAACAAGTTTTTGAAGTTCCTGCTGGAATGAAATTTCTGCAGAAGTGGAAGGAAAGATAAAAAGCCTTGCTGAGTAACATAACGTCTTATTGTTAAGAATAAACATGAAAACAATTTAGACAAGGGCTGCTGAAGGTGCAGGTGACAATATGGAAACTGGCTGAAATGTAATCCAAGTAATATTGGGACTCTGGTAATTTGGCTGGGGGAATTCAGTCATGTGTGACGTTTGGAAGTATTCGGGCACTTGTCTTTAGATATATTAATGGCGGAGATGCTGAGAAGGTTGGTTAGGTCTTTTCTGGAGAACGTAGACCCTAATTAGGGCCCCCAAAGGCCTTGATTGTTAATCTAGATTGTTATTTAGTTGTGCCACATAGTAATTGGTGCTCAAAGCACAGAAAACAAAATTTCACTCTTTCTGTTACATTTATTAGGGGTTTATTTAAGAAAATTAAACTCACTTAACAATGGTCTCACCTAACAACAGAAATTTGGGTCGTATGACAAGGACTTTTGCAGTCATATGTGGTTGTATGTCAACTATTACCTATATTGAAGAGATTAGTATAGGATTAGGTTTAGTATGGGATTAGGATTAGGAAATTTGAATAAAGTGTTTTCTTTAAAAGTTGTCCAGGTATATCCATCTGTTTCTTGATTGGCAATCAACTGATCCTGTTAACTTGGAATTCTTATAAACCTCAATATGTTAAATGGTGATATTTCTAGTTAAAGTTGATTTGCCAATCAAATTTGACCCAATGGAAGGGATTTTTTTTTTGCTTCGCTAACAAAAGAATTTTTTTTCCAAAACCTAGTTGATCATCCTGTTAAGATTGCCAGATTTACTTCTGCTCAGTGCTACATTTTAACATGATCTCTGCAAACATTCAACTATAAAAAGGGGATTTTAAAAGTATCTCAGCTCCCTTTGAAACAGCCAATACATTTTTTTCCATGTTTCCTTTTGCGTAAGAGTCCTAATGCTTTCTCCTTGTTTGAATAATAACTGAATTGAATGAATTCCTCGACTGGGTGTGACTTCATAATACAATTAATCCTTTTGAATGAACTGAATGCAGCTCTGGAAGACTTTCACTTTTTCAAAAGAATAAATTTCAGCAATCCTGATTACATCATGGGGAACAAAACAAGGAAAGCCCAGAATTTAGTTCTTCTTCCCTTTTTGCCTGCCAGTAGTGATAAAACTCATGTTCAAAGCACATAAGAGACGGTTGCAGTAAGCAGCCAAACCTTACTGGTGAAGGGAAAAAAAGAACAATAGGCTAGAAGTCCAATTCAAGAATATAATTAGACCTCGATGATGGAATTATTATATTAAAAATAAAAAATGGAATAAAAAAATAAAGAAAAAAATTCTCCTTAGTTCTAGGTTGAATCTCTCTGTTTGATAAGTTTTCTGCCCGTTAACTTCTTGTCTTGCCCTGAGTTCCTTTGGAGAATAAATTGTCCCCTCTTCAATATGACAGCCCCAAATATTGGAAGACTGCTGTCATGTCAACCCTAGTCCTTCTCTTCATTAAGCTAGATACGCTTAGCTCCCACAACTGTATGGTTTCACCTCTGGACTCCTTATCATCTTTTTGCTCTTCTTTGCACTCTTTCTTACACGCCCCAAAAACTAGACGATGATTCAAAATGTTGCTTCAAGCCACCCCCAAACCACTGCTGATTTCTTTTGTTGCTTTTCTCCAAGATTATAACTGTTAAAACTGTCCGTTTCATAAATTGGACCAAAGACAGATCAGAAGCAATTCAGCCACTGCTTTTATCTTTTCTGTGTTGGTCAAGTGGTTTTTATTTGCAATATTTAATGGCTTGTTTCTAGCAGTTCATGCTGAGATCTCACATTTAAAGAAGTGCCTTTTGCCATATACAGTGAGCGCTTCAGCTTGGGTTTTATTTTTAGTGACTTCAGTGTTGCTCTGGAAACTGCTGCAAACTGTTGCTTTATCAGTAGCCAACAATCATTAGTCAAACTTCCTGCATTCCTGCTTTCTGTCATCATAGTTAAAGGAGTTAGAGAAGACCTTGAGATTTGTTTTTCTGGATTGTAATACTTCTTACATGGAGAAATGGGAATAGACTGCAGTTTTGGGAGACTGGGAATTAGCACTAGCACTAGTATTTAGGCTTATGTAACAATAACAACAATAATCACAATATTAATAACAGCAGTGTATTATTGCTAGGCTAAGACACTGAACTTGTCGATCAGAAAGGTCGGCAGTTCGAATCCCTAGTGCCGCGTAACGGAGTAAGCTCCCGTTACTGGCCCCAGCTTCTGCCAACCTAGCAGTTCAAAAGCATGTAAAAAATGCAAGTAGACAAATAGGGACCACTTTGGTGGGAAGGGAATAATGTTCCATGCGCCTTCAGTGTTCAGTCCTGCTGGCCACATGACCACAGAGATATCTTCGGACAGCGCTGGCTCTTCGGCTTTGTAACGGAGATGAGCACCGCCCCCTAGAGCCAGAAACGACTAGCACAGATGTGCGAGGGGAACCTTTACTTTTACCTTACCAACCTATAGCGCTCTTACAACACTCTCTGGGTGGTTTAGTATGTAGAAGCATTATTTGCATATTGTCCCAAACAATCCAGGTCTTCATTTTACTGACCTCGGAAGGATGGAAAGCTGAGTCAACCTTGAGTTGGTCAGGATTGAACTCCTGGCAGAGGGCAGAGTTTGCTTGCAATTCTGCATTCTAATCCCAGAGCCACCACAGCCTCCTACACATATAAGTTTTTTTTACAAATGAAGGCGAATATACGTGTCCCAGGATAATGTGGCAGGATCCAATGTGGGTCGGTCACGAGGAACACAGGTTTTGTCTTACCAGCTTTCAAACTCATGGTAGAACCATCTTCAGGGAACTTCTCTCTAGCAGCCTGTGTGCTGTTCTGTGTGTGGTATAGCCTGTTGTGAAGAGGCTTTTTAGATGTTGATTGGGGTGGGTTAATGGCTAGTAAGTCGTTGGCTGTGGTTTGCCTGTGCTAACCAGCCCTCACCTATAAGTTTTCTCTCTATCCTTCTAGAATGGAAACAAAAATCAGATGTGAAAGAAAAAAACAGAAACACGGGCTCTTAAACGAGCTTATTCCAAAGCTTGTAGGTTATTTGCAAATATTACCAGAGCTCTCTTGTAATTTGAGAAGAAAAGTGCAAAGATAAGAGGAAAAGTCATGTCAGAATCAGTTGTGCAAACTTGCATGAAAAGGCTGCTTTGGAACTGTCATTTTACTAGTTCATCCTGCTGCTAAATTGACATAAAGAAAGTGTCTTGGCACAGATTTTGTTCAACGAAACAATGAAACAAGAAGCAACGGATGGAAACTAATCAAGGAGCGAACCAACCTAGAACTAAGGAGAAATTTCTTGACAGTGAGAATAATTAATCCGTGGAATGATTTGCCTTCAGAAGTTGTGGGTGCTCCATTACTGGAGGTTTCCAAGGAAAAACTGGACAGCTACTTGTCTGGAATGGAGGGTTGGACTAGATGGAAGACCTCCAAGGTTTTTTCCAATTCTGTTATTCTGCAAAATTTCTCTCCAATGAGAGGAAAATCCATCACATCTCAAATACGAGCTGGTCCAAGGCTGGTCCTAGTGATTCCCAGGGCAGATAAAATGATTATGCCTACATTACATGGGTAATTTTCTCAAGCCTGTGAAGTGAAAAGAAATTATTCTTTAATTAGAAAAGCCAGGAGGAAAAGGCCTAAAATTTAAACCCTGGAACAAACACACACACAGAGGAATTCATTTCTGTGTTATAATTTTGGTAGATCAGTGTTTATACAGCTTCTGCCTTGTCTGCAATAAATCAACTTAGTTGGTTTTTGTCCTGTTTGCAAGCTTATGTTGGAAGCAAGCTCTTACATTCTGAATCATGTCCAGAGAGTAAAGGTTTATTGTCCAAGACGTTGTTTCATTATTGGCCATTTTTTAAATACTGAGAATTTGCTCCTAACATTTAATCAAACGCTACTTCCCTGCCATTTTCATCCACTGATTCTAGAGCAACAGAGATCACATCTGTTCCACATTTTACATTTTCCTTCAAATATTTTTATAAGTCTTGCAGTATAGTTTGTCTAAGTCCTTGGCTATTAGCAGTTCTCATAATATATCGGATGCAGTCTGATTGGAACAGAATAAAGAGTTATTTTCCATGATCACAATGCTTCTAAATAAATATATATATTTTTTTTAAAAAAGTTCAGTTACAATGCTTTAAAAATAAGTGCACTATAATATATATTTATATTCACAGAGGACAAATAAAATTAATCACTGTATTCAACACAGAATTATATCCATTCATTTATTTACATTCACTGTATTATTTTACTTATGGGACATTTCAATTCGTGTAGCAATACTTTAACTGATTACAAATCTCTGGAATTCCTTGTCTGCATTACTGTTTTATAACTCAGAATGAACAGAATAAGTAAGATTTCCTCGCTGTTTAAATATTGTAGGTCTTTTAAGGCAAATGACTTAAATTTCACATTGCTTTCCAGGAATCTTTGCTATCAAATGTTTCCAAATAAACTCCTTATAGAGGGTAGATAGTCGTCGTGCATTATCAGCTGAAAGCAGTTGGCAGAGTAAAACTGAAAATGTTGTTTTGAGAGATTACACAGTTTAAACCCAGCATTTAATAGTAGCTATAGGATAATGTCCATATTGTTACTGGTATAGTTTTAACTTTAGCATTTCTTACCAAGAGGTTTTTACCAGCAATTAAAACTGATTTATTGTACCTTAACTATGTTAAACACCCTTTTATATCTTTATTAATTATTATATAGATATTATTTATATCTATATTAGCTATTTAATATATTTTTAAAAAGTCTCAAAGGATATATTTTTTAAAAAATTCTGTTTCAGAGTAGGAGCCAATTGTCAGTTAACAATTATACTGAAAAGGATATCCTAACAATAGAGTTAGGTCAATTAGAGCGATTGAATTTTCTTATTTAACATTATCAATCACCTGAATTGCTTGAAGAATCTGGTGACTTTTTCCAATTCTACTGTCAAGCGCCAGGGAAAAACAGGAGATCCAGGCAGCTCATATGGATATAAAGATTTATTGCAAGCCAAAGCTCTCTACAAGAATCTGGCCTATTAAAGATTAAGGGAAATGAGCGGGAGATAAGAGAGACATTCAAGCTGGGTTGGATTTAGATCTCTTGCTTGGGCGCAGAGACTCATGACTGATGATGCATTTGACCCCTCCCTCCAGCTCAGCCTGGTCATCTCCTACACCTACTTTGAAGATGCAGTAGATTGAACAGGAAGAGTCCATGTGGCAATTCCTATACTGATAGTCCTCACAATCATTTGTTTAGCATCCGTTTGAAGTCACAGTGGCACTGAAAAAAGGGACTTATGACCAGTGCCCAAAATACGACCGTCACAGCATTCTCTACAGTCACGTGATCAAGCTTTGGGTGTATTTATGACAATTGCAGTGTCCTCTTAACAGCCGTATGATTCTCTTTAAAATTGCATTGATTTCCTTTACAATGGTAGCAAAAAATGGTCATTAAAAACAGGTACAACTTACTTAACCATCTTCTCATCATCGGAAATTCTGAACTCAGTAATGGTCTTAAGTCAAGGATTAACCAAGTTTGCAATAATGACATGAAGCTTAATTTGCATGCCATAGAGCCAAGATGGCGAACCTATGGCACGCATGCCAAAAGTGGCATGCAGAACCATCTCTGCCAGCACGCGAGCGGTTGTCCCAGCTCACTTCCACTGCGCATGCGCGCATACCTCCCACCAGCTAGCTAGCTGTTGGGTATCTGCCGCACATGCGTGGGGAGCAGGGCACATGCGGGAGATGCATGCGCAGGGGAGCATGGGGGGTCATGCGTGCATGCGCAGGAAGGGGGATGGGAGTGCACACATGTGCAGGGGGTGGGAGGAGCACAGGGGGGTCATGCATGCATTGCATTATGGGTGCACGCCACAACAAAAAGGTTAGCCATCACTGCCATAGAGTAGTCAATCTTTTTTTCAATGTTATTATCCCGATATGCAAAATTCTCCTATCTTTCCAATTCTATTTTTAAAAAATTGAACATAGAAGACTGTATTTCAATTGCATGCCATATTAATTCAGTCAGTAGAGAGACATGTAATCAGGGGTGGGATTCTACCGGTTCGCACCTATTCGCTAGAACCAGTTGTTAACATTCTAAGCAGTTCTGAGAAGCGGTTGTTAGAAGAAATTACAGGGCTAATCCTGTAAGGAAGGCAGGAAGGAAACATTCTGCTGTTGCTTACAGAAACGGTCTCTCCGTTAACCCTTATTACATTCTTGGCAGGACTGGACTTCCTGTCTCTGGAACTTCTCTGGAGTTTTTTCCCCTCCTTTGCTGGTTCTTCGCTTGTGTGGAGTGACCATTCAAAGTTACAATGGCACTGAAAAAAGTGACTTATGACCCTTTTTCACACTTACAACTGTTGCAGCATCCCCACAGTTATGAGAGGCCAGGCAAGGAGATGCGTGCCTTGATGTGAGTGATATTGAGTTGGCCAACACCCAGCCAATAACATGACCACCAAGTCACGCCCACCAACTAAGCCACGCCCACAGAACCAGTTGTTAAAAAATTTAAATCCCACCCCTGCATGTGATATGCGTTCCCTCCTGGTTTTGCAAATGTTATAGTGTGAAAGCTTTAACTTGAATGTTCTTGATTTAAATCAGTTAAAAAATGCAATTAACCAAAGTTATTTAGAGACCTTGGTTAAAGTTAATCAAGACTGATTCTATTCATAGGCGAGGCAAAAAATAATAATTTCCAAAAGGGAAAAGAGATGAAAAATTTTAGGTGAGGAAGGAAGTGTAAGAAATATGAAGCGGAAATATGAGCTCGTAGCAGTCTTGCTTTCAAGTATTAATGTAAAAATTAAGGAAAGTGGATGTTGCCCTTACCTCAGCCACTTTAACATGGCAGCACGGCTGGCTGGGGAATTCTGGGAGTTGAAGTCCATCATCTTAAAGTGGCAAACAGTTGAGAAACACTGCTAGGATGGTAGCTTGGTTCATGTTCATATTTCTGATTGAGAAACACTGCACTGGACATATATACATTTTAATTTGGACTGGACCTACTCAATTAAATTTGTTATTAATTCAATTTTGTTTTTTTCTGTATGGCAGAGCTTTGCTAGAAGCAGAGAGCAACCAATGGATTCTCATGTGGAATGAAGAACGTGGAAGAAGATTCCCCCCAGGTACGAAAGATGAATGGAATAGAATTCTTTATAGAATAGAATTCTTTATTGGCCAAGTATGATTGGACACACAAGGAATTTGTCTTCAGCGCATAAGCTCTCAGTGTACATAAAAGGAAAATAAAATACATTCATCAAGAATCATAAGACACAACACTAGTTCTGCCTTAACTATGAAAGACAACTGGGTGACTTTGGGCCATTCACAGGAGACTGAGAGTTCTAGTTCCGCCTTAGCCATCAGAACCAGTTGGGGAATTTTAACCACAGTCAGTCAGTCAGTCAGTCAGTCAGTCTCTCTCTCTCTCTCTCTCTCTCTCTCTCTCTCTCTCTCTCTCTCTCTTTCTTTCTTTCTTTCTTTCTTTCTTTCTCCCCGACTCACTTCACAGGATTGTTGTTGTGGGGAAAATAGCGGGAGGAAGGTGTGTTGGATATGTTTGCTGCCTTGAGTTATTTCTAAAAATAATAAAGGTGTGTTATGAAATAAATGAATAAGTAAATAAGTAAGTACATGGCATTAATAGCCATTTTTGTTCATCTCCTGGCAGGTGGCCGAAATCTGCGTTACGAGTATAGCAACCGACACTCCACTTATCAACAGGAGAAAGGAAAGAGAGCGCTTCCCGCAGTCCCAAATGTTGACCTAAGATATAAATTCCCACAAACAGGCATTAGCCGCTCTGCGGTTTCTTCGTCTAGGAGAGAAAGTGCTGGAAGGCAAACCGTTCTCCCTGAGAAAAAACCACTACCCAAAGAACCCTTCAGGTTGGGGCAGCGTCCTTCAACTGCTACCGAAAGGTACGTGACTCATGAAAGAAGCCTGATAGGACAGAGAGAAAGACAAAGCTTTACGTCACCTTATCGGATGAGCAGAGAAGGCGACGGTCAGCCAAGGCCTGAAAGGGGGACAACCGAAATGGGAAGTATGGCATCTGCTTTGAAAGAGTCCGCCAGCCTTCAGAAGCAAACGAAAAGGCCAATGAGTTCTGAAGGCATCAGAGCCACGATGATTACCTCTCCACCACTATCTTACAGCTCAACGTCTTCTTCTAAAAGAAGCCAATATGAGATGAGGGAAGGAATTTTGGGTGACACCAACAAACTAATCAAAGAAGGCAAACCAAGAAAAGAAGAAAAACACGTTTTGGTTGAAGGAGTTGAGCAGAAGGAAAAATTGGCCAACGAAGCAACAGATTCTTCCATGAAGAACTTTGAGAAATTGTACGGGGTAGAAAAAACTGTTCAAAAGAAGACTGAAACGAAGGAAGGCATGGAGAACAAAGAGGATACGGTGGAAGACAGTATCTTTAAATATAAGAGAAAGGAAGAGAAATTAATGAAAGATAAGATGCCTTCTAGAGGATGGGAGGAACAGATTAAAGTGGAGGCAGAAGGAAAGACAATTCCAAAAGGTACAGCAACATTTGAAAGGGAGAAAATTGTGAGCACGTCTTCAAAAAGCCAAGAAACTATTGAAATCCCCATTCATTCAGGACATACTGAGGGCGAAATCCTACAGAAGAATCACAACATAGAGATAACATTGCAAGACTTCAAAACTTCTGCAGAAAAATCAAAAGGTGAAGCTGAATTTAAACTCAGCAATGAAATGACTCAAGGTAATAAAAGCAAAGAAGAGAATTCTGAAAGAGATGCTTCGCTCACGGAGAGCATAGCAGAGAACATCATTTCTGATATCCTTAAAGGTTTCGTTCAAAAGTCTTCAGGGGAAGGTCTTCCTCCCGAAGCTAAAATAATTTCCTTTGAAAAGAAGGAAATTTCTGAGGATGGAAAAGTGAAAACTGAGATCAGCATACAGTCCACAGTTCAAAAAGATGACCTTGATGTGTCTAATAAATCTGAATTGGGAAGTTTCTTAGAGAAAGATATTAAAAAGGTATTGGAGGATACGAAAGGAAGTTTAGATGAAAATGTCCTAGACAGTATAATTAATGCTGGGATAAAAGGGATGGAAGACAAGGCGAATAGGACTATTAAAGTTGAGATCATTGAAGAACCTGCAACTATAGTTGACGAAAGGGTGGAGTTTTCAACCCCATTCGAAGTAGAGGAAGCAGAAGATATGTTTCTCAATATGAGAGAACATCCGGATTACAGTGATAAAGAGAAAGCCACCACAGGTGTTGCCGGAGACCTTAAGGAGAAACAACTTGATGTGTCTCGTGTGGAAGAAGTATCTGAGGGAGATGACGTTGTGGATGAAGAAAAGTACTTTGTTTCCACTCCAGATGAATACCCGTTTGGATATGAGGAAGGAGAAGGTTCCACCTACGGTCAAATCCATTTTGAGGAAGAATCAACAGTGAAATATTCTTGGCAAGATGAATTTCTGGAAGGGTCTCAAACCAACATAAAGGAGGGTCTGGCTTCACCAGAATTGATTTATCAAGTAATGGGTGCAGATGCTGGGCCCTTTATTTCAAAGGCTGAACCCCCCAAAGAACAGTTGGCCCATGCTGAATCTGTAGTTATTGAGAAGGAAATTAGAATCCCACACGAATTTCAGGAGTCAATAAAGGAGGTTTTTTCCCACCAGTCAAAGGACCCTAAACACCAGTTGAAAGAGGCACTAGGAAAGCTTGAAGCAACTCTTCCAGAACTTGTGAAACAGGAACTCGGTGAACTCACCAAAGAGGACAAAACTGACTCTAGTACTTTGGAGGTGGACATTAAAAAAGTAGAGCAACCTGAAAAAGAGGGTGTATTTACTATTGTTGCAGAAGTTAATTTATCCCAGACAATAGACTCTGACCAGTTGGGTACAGAATGGCTTGGGAAAGCTGTGACCGATCAGATAAAATTATCCAAACAGTCACCAAATGAAAGTGGCTTTGATCAATACATAAAACAACAACCAGAAACTTGGCAGGATGAAAAACATCACACAGATGTTTCCTCCACACATTGGACCATGGAAGAAACCAGTAAGAGTGAAGATGCCTATCCTGCTAAGGAGTCATTTGATATTAACAGACACATCCGTCATGTTGTAGTTGGTCCAACTGAAATTCGTAAGACGGAACATGTCTTTTATGAAGGTCCTACTCTGGAGTTTGGAACAGTGGACTTTACAACAGGAGTATCAGCAGATGCAGGTCAATTCCTGAAGGAAATGAAGTCAAGTCCCCAAACGACAGAAACCACAGAAAAAATAATTTATAGAAGTCCTATCTACACATTTGAAGAAGTGAGTAATCCTGAAAATTCTACTCAGATCCAGGTTTCGAGTGATATTAGATCTTCCAAACATATCACGTTGGATTCAAAACAAACTGTTGAAGAAATCACGTTTGAGGGAGCTTCAGAATTGTCATCAGATAATAGAAGGGATATCTTTTCACAGATGAAAGATCCCACAGCAATCAGCACATCAATAAGACACATCCAAATAGATCCCAAAAAGATACATGTTGAAAGAGAAATATATGAAGTGCCCTTTTCCCCTGGAGACCACGGTCTGTTTGAAGAAGCAGTAAAAAAGATGACCTTCGGACAGAAGGACACACCAACATCCGACCAAAACATTTATGAAGGTTCCTTCACCAAGACATCAGATGATGGTTCAGTCAAGCTTGGTGAGGATGTTAACACCACAATCAGACATATCAAATTAAGCCCGAAGGAGGTTGTAAGTGAGCAAATTGTTTTTACAGAGCCCGTTTCTGAACAGCACCAAAAGGTCAGTGAATTGGGGCAGATGTTTTCTTCTGAAGGGTCAGTCCATCGTATTAAATTAGGCCAGAAAGAAGTCCAGAGCCATGACTTCATGTCCCAAGATATTGTTTTGGAATCTCCAGGAATCAGTTCTTCACAAGAAGACACCTTGGAAAAAACAAGTCCTGCAGAGACCAGCCGATCAACACATCACATTCAGATTGGGCAAGGGCTCCGTAGTCCTGATGCTCAACTCTTCAGTGGTATGGAATTTTCCCACACAGATGGGCCCTCAGAAAACAGCAAATCTGTTGGGCAAATCCGAATCGGACAGAAAGAAACATCCTTTACCTTCCAGATGGACATTAGCAAAACGGGTGGGAGAGAACCACAAGCTACCCTAGTGGTATCAAGTAGGCAAGAAGCAGGCAACGGTCAACCTGAAGGCGGCATGGAAGAGCTTTGGGAAAACCCAGAAAGTGAACAGACGTCAGAGGAGTCCACCTTTGACCGAACCGTGCAACTGCAAAGGATGGTTGACCAACGATCGGTGATTTCGGATGAAAAGAAAATCGCCCTTCTCTACCTGAACGAAAACGAGGGGGAAGAGGAAGATGAGGGACCCTGGTTTTAAAAAGTAACATTTCCAAGTTTGGTTTTTAAAAGCTTGGAACAGGGGTCCCCAAACTTGGCAACTTTAAGACTTGTGGACTTCAACTCCCAGAATTCCTCAGGAATTCTGGGAGTTGAAGTCCACAAGTCTTAAAGTTGCCAAGTTTGGGGATCCCTGGCCCAGAAGCTTAATGTCAACTAAAAAGAAAATGCTCCTTTGGTCTTTTTAGTTGCCAGCAGAAAGGGAGTGGGGGAAAAGCAGCGCATTCCTCAAGTGCCTTAGATAATCGCCTTGGCAGCCCAAAGCTGTCAGCGTGCAAGAATATTACAATGATTGATGACTCTTGGCTATGGATGTGTCCCATTGGAGAATATACATCCGCGGGGTGAGGAGAAGATCAGGGTCAAGGGGGAAATGAATGATGTATTTTAGTGTCAGCAGCACCCCGCTAATGCCAACGTGGCCATTCCTAAATAAATCATATTTTTTTTAACTCTGAGAGGTGCGGCTAGAGACTTTTGATTTGAATGGGGGCGGATTTGTTGGAGCCCTGACAGCCAGCCGACACTAAAATACACTTTATATACCCTGATACTTAATG